ACAAATTAGGTAATGAGAACTTGAAAATCACGTGTAAAGCTCTTTAAGTTCTCTTAAATTTAAGTCAGTACCCCCTCCCCTCCCCTCTTCCACCGACTACTGCTCTCTCCCTCTTCGAAGGATTTGAAAATCACTACCTAGCGATATTTTTTTGTTGCTGTAACTGACATTGACATCCCTGTCCATCTGGACTAAAATGGGGAGCAGGAATTGTAATAGGTAGTGAATGGGGCTAGTGTAATATTTACCACATCATCCTTCAAGTACCAGTACAACTACTACCACGACCACCACCACAGTAGCTAAAATAATGTCACTGCTATCTGTGTTACCATCGGAGTAGACAGAGAGTCGTGAGCCAGAAGATTTGGTTCCGCATGGCTAGTGCTGTCGCCACAGACTGGTCAGGTTAGGATGTATAATTTCACTTCCCGACAGAAGAACGCCATAACCTTACCGGCGGTCTTCACATGAGAGCACTACGGTGTAACAGCCCAACCACAACTACTACTGCGCTGCTGCTACTTTAAGTGGGTAAAGCAGTTACTGTGACTTAAAGCTCTCTCAGTTAATAGTTCCCCCCCCCCCCCCCCCCCCCCCCCAAATTCACCGACAACTCTTTCCCTCATTGAAGTAGTTGGGAGAAAAAAAAAAAAACTTGAAAAGCAAATGAACACAGGAAAAAAACACACCATAATTAGGAAATAAACACCATTGTAAACAGCACAGCTTAAAATTCCAACACAGATGAAATAAATAAATCTAAATGAAAATAAATGAAAATCTATGAAATTTCAGCGTAACCATGCAATCGAAAAGTTTAAAAATGCAATCATAAGTATGCGAAATGGTCAAATTTAATTATCAAATGGTTTACCCATTTACATGTCTTTTTTTTTTTTTTTTTTTTAAATATTAAGGCAACATGGCTAGTGCTGTCACCAGGACAGAGCAGATGAGGATATTATTTTAGTCCGGGGTAAAAAAAAAAAAATTAACTGCTGCGGATTCGAACCCAGGTCTCCCGCACAGGAACCCAGTGTTCTAACCATTCGACCAAGCAGCCACTTAATCGGAATAACGAAAAGAGAACTTAACTATTAGAGATTTGTGTCCCTACTACTGTGTCCCGATTAAAACACAATTCAAAACCGCAGGCAATTGTTTTCTCGTAGACAGATACTCCAGATATATTAATGAAACGGCACAACAATAGAAATCGCACGTGTCTAACACGGTTAATGAAGTTAACGTCGCAGTCACTGTCTGCGTCGACGTCGATTTTCTCCTTGATTGCCCCCCCCCCCCACTCCCCCCATCGAAGGTTGTTTAAAAAAAAAAAAAAAAATAGAAATCGTGTTTAATATGGTTATTGTGGCAAATATAGAGATGGTCTTGTTTGCTGTACCACGACCTACTCTATGTATTAAAGAAGGCGTTGGCTGCACGTAACTCGCCGGCGAATGGCGGTAGCCTTGCGTTCTGACTACGGCGCATGCGCAGTTACTAATGTGGCTACAATTAGAAATCACTAAAATTATAAATATTTTAATAAATATTATGGCTTAAATTGTGGTCACCTATCTCTAACAGTGAATTTCAAACCATGATGGTTCAACATCCGGTATCAAAACAAACATATCCTGAAAATTTCAGCTGAATCGGTGCAGTAGTTTCCGAGTCAATAAGGGGCAAACAAACACACAAACATTGATTTTTATATATATAGATATTAAGTAAATACCTAATACTTGATATTTTGTTAAGGGATATACGGGAAACTTAGCAGTAATTTCAGACACTGGATGATAGAACTTTAAGTAATATTTTGGTCGTATTATTCAGATATGACTAATGATGGCACTCAATGATGATGCTATTTAAATTTTGTGTTTTATGATAATACCCGCTATTCTTGAAGCACTCTTAGTCAAAAAGACAAATTATTTTTGATTTAATTTGAAGCTATTCATGTAAAAAAAATAATGTAAATAATAATAAATGCACTAATGTAACAATATTATTAGTAAATAAATTGACTGTCAATGACTGCTGTTATGAAGAAAAATATAAATAAATAATATTCTATATTAATAAAAATGTTGTTTTCCGATGTAAGCTAAAAACTCCTATTTTAGCCCTAAACTCGGAAACTACTGAACACGATTGCTTTCAAATTTGCACACAACGTTGCCTTTGACTCCAAGCATGATTTTTTGTCAGAAAAATCGCACAAACCACAAACGATGTAGCTCCAGCAATGCTCAAATCATTATTTGTTTTGTTGCCGGCCCCGATTTGTTTTTATGTGATCGGCCATATTTGACTGCTGAGCTCTTATTGAACTTTGCGTTATTATATAATTTCATTTCCACTATTTGCTTGAGTGTTTGGTAACGTAGTTGGTAGCTATTCTGCCTATCATGCAGGTGACCCGCGTTCGATTCCCTGCTAGGTGATGTAATTTTTTTTTTGGTGCCCTTAACTGGGCAGCTGGCATGTTGTGTTGTGGTTTATGGCTAGGCTGCGATATCTACGCCTTTTTCTGTTTTGGGGTTTACAGCTAGCCTGCGACAGCGGCGATGTGATGCTCAATGGTCATGTCACGGGTAATCTTCGTTCACCCTCGAGAGGACCGTTGGCACGTTGTGTTGTGGTTTACAGCTAGGCTGCGATATCTGACCTAAACTCTTCAGTCGTCAGTAGTTAAGTTGTAAGTATGTCATCCTTCACTCGGGTGACTGGTGTTCGATTCCCTACTGGGTGATAATTGTTCTTTTCCCCCTAAAAGGGTGGTTGCCATGTTGTGTTGTGGTTTACAGCTAGGCTGCAATATCTGCATCTTCTGACCAAAGACATCTGATTTCAGTTAAGTCCTAATTAGCTTCGCTGCGACGCTTCTTGATCTTTAGTTTGGATGGACACGAATGCCAAGGTCAGTTAAAAATCGTTCCCTCGGAGAGGGAAAGATGATGGGTGCAGGGTATTTTTCTCCACTATTCGTGAGTATAGTGTACTTTTCACTGTGGGTTCCACCACTGGTTACGTGATTAAGTTTTTTTTTTCCTATGTCCGGTGCAAAATGAAACTAAATAGTCCGTGGCGACAGCATGCAGTGCTAACTCCTCTTTTCTACACCGACCTTCACAGACTGTAGTGACAGTTTTTGTTGTTATTGTTGTTGTTGTGATGGTGGTGGTGGTTGTGGTTGCAGTAGTACTGGTACTGGATGGGTGATGTAGTAGCTGTTACAATGGCTAATTTTACTTCTCTGTACAAGTTAATGCTAACTATTTAAGTCTGGGTAGACACGGATGCAAAGTTCAATTTAGTTACAATATTACATTACACAGTGACTTTTCTATCCTTCGGAGAAGATGATATGATTGGGGGGGGGGGGGGGGGGGGTTATGCCAGACACAGTTAGCTGAGAGAGCTTAAAATATTATTTTAAAGTTCTCATTTCTTAACTATTCATATTTTAATAATTTCGCCATGGATAATTTTTCAGTCCTTCGGAGAGAGAGATATGACTTCGCCAGGTGATGATTTTTCAATCTTTGGGAGAGGGAGATGTGAGTGGGGGAGCAGGGGAGGGAGGGGGGGGGGGGGGTTTATGCCAGACACCGTTAGCTGAGAGAGCTTAAAATATTATTTTAATGTTCTCATTTCTTAACTATTTCTATTTTAATAATTTCACCAGGTGATGATTTTTCAATCCTACAGAGAGGGAAATATGATTGGTGGAAGGGAGAGGAGGAGGGGGGGGGGGGGTGGGGGGGTTATGCCAAATACAGTTAGCTGAGAGAGCTTAAAATATTTTTTTAAAGTTCTTATTTCATAACTATTTCTATTTTAATAATTTCGCCATAGATGATTTTTCAATCCTTCGGAGAGGGAAATATGACTGCGTCGAGGGGAGAGGAGGGGGTTATGATAGACACTGTTAGCTGAGAGCTATTTTCTTTCCTCTCCATTTCACCATTCTGGGCCACAGCAACGTGTGGCCGGGCACAGCTAGTATATTGATAATAATGAAATGAATATTTAAGCACCAGAAAAATAATTTAAAATTATAATTAATAGTTGAAGCTGTTCTTGATGATGTTTTCTTTTTGTCGGCTGGTATTTCTGCGGTGACTTTGCTGTCCTTTTGACTGTTCTTCTGAAGAAACTGGTTAGCTGAGCCTACTACTGCTACTAAGAAAAGAAAATCTCAGAAATCATGTTAGTTTGCTGGAATTAATTAATTCTGGCCGCACATTCTAATTGTACACAGTCAGGTTATGTTCATGCTAGTATTAATTTTATATACAGGATAATGTTCACGGAACTGTTCAGTCTTTGTATTTTTAGATTCTGTTGTGCACTAGGATTACTACACTTAGTTCACTGCTTAACTACATACTTATAATAAACACATGATTTTTACAGCACTTGAATTAGCACAATTAAAAGTGTTCTCCCCCACCCCCCAAATAAAATGTTTTACATTTTCTATCTAAATAGGTGTGATCATTATATTTATGTCTTCTTTGAATATGATAATGTCAGACTTTTGTAGTGAATTATTTTCGACAAGTTCATTTCCAACCAAGTTCCCCTTTTTGCATAATTTATCTAAGAGAAAATAGGTTCAGTAAACTTAGTATAGCCAATTTATAAAATTACGTTTCCATACATATACAGACAAAAATAAATACCAGGAAATGTTGTGGAAAGTATAGGCAGCAGCATAATGCAGACGTACATGCACTGAGTACCAAATGATCTATAAATATATGGTGACAGCAACATATGCTGTAGACATTGTAAGTTGTTGAAATAGGTTGTTTATGTATGGAACGGGTGGCAATGAATATCAACTAGTATGCTGATTATGTGACTGGAAATGTTGAAACTGTAAAAACAAACATAGAGCAATTTCTCAGCAACAAGCCACAATTTATATATAAAAACTTATAATATAAAAATGGTATAAACTTTGGTCATAGTTAACATCATTCATCGGCAGGTTTGTCGACCACTCGAAGGTCACTGTGTGAGTTCCTCAAGGACACAAAGTCTGACCGCAGTAGCCTGTAGAAGAGAACAATGTTCATGACCACCATAATGGCCAGTCCGACACTGCCCATGGTGTAGAATACCAGCGGGACGTGGTCTTTGTTGATGACGATCCACCGGGTCATCCAAGCCAGCAGTAGGATGCGGAATACGATAAACGTGGCTGGGGGCAGATGAGAAACATCTCTTAAAATATTTTCGGTTATAACAGGAATGTGAACTCTGTAACAGCACAATGATACAGAACTGGAGAACTTTTCAGTGACAAGTCTTCATCAACAAACAAAAACTCCCCAAAAATTAGTCAAAACAGATACACACACAGGCACGCACGCATGCACGCACACACATACACTCACACACACCTCCTGTTATTTATCTATGTAAATACAGTGTCTGTGGGTAATTTCTAAATTTAGCAGAATTTCTTAGAGACACCTTTCTGCACTGTTCAGCATTACCAACCTGTTTCAGCAACAGGTGGCACCTGGGTCGATATGTTAATTAGACCAGGCCACTCTGGTAATGGTACAGACAGTATGACACAGGCTGCCTTTAGTTCTCAGGATATTCTGTGGTACCAACACAAAGCTGGGTTCACCTTGGACCTGGTATTTTGTAAAAATCCAAGTGAATGGGGATTCAAACCTATGATACTTGGGGTGGATGGAAAGCTGACTGAGCACTGCTAATGAAAGTTAACATCAATAGAAGTTAGACAAGAGGATACATACCTAAGTTTGTAAGGCTGTTGAGTCGGTACCAAGCATTCAGCTTGGAGACTCCGCAGATTTGCAGCAGCTGACGCAGGTGTAGAAAGATGCTGTTCCACTCCACCATCAGTGCAACAACGGCATAACCCACATAGTGATGCGACAGCACCGGGACCATAAAACAGCAGATGATCTGGGGATAACAGTTGACAGCATGCTGTAGTCATCATGTGGTACTGGTATCCCACACAGCTGGGAGGTGTTCACATCAGGGATTCTAACACTGTACAGGGTACTGCGCCCTTGTTTGTACTGTACAGGGTACTGCGCCCTTCTTTGTACTGTACAGGGTACTGCACCCTTGTTTGTAAAACTGTACAGGCTACTGAGCCTTTGCATCTTGCAGCAATCCTTGTTGCTTCAATAAACATAAGCAGTTATGCAAACACGTGCACAGAGAATGCTTATACAGGTTGTTATATAAACAGGCACACAAATACACATATAAAAACACACATATAACCACAAACAAACTTACATACCAATACATAAACTTTCATAAAAACATAAGACTCACACACACATTCATACCTCTGTACATTCATTCATACACACACAGGTATATACACACACACAGACACACACATACACAAGGAGATATGCATGTATGTATGTTCATTCTCACACACACACACACATACATGTACACACACGCACGCACACACACATACATACATAGACACACACATATATTCTACACGTATACACATGTAATTGTACACAAACACACAGGAGTTTCTGCCACTGTGAGAATCACTGGGTTAAGGTTATAAATGACCAGACAATAAACAAGTAAATACATCGACCACAAATGGTTCCTTGTCAACAGATGGGTGTTTACTTTGCATCTATAGTCCAAGCACTCATGATCATCATCAGGTGCACTGCCAGCTGGCATGGGTGATCATTCCTTTCCCTCAGGATCTCTCTAACATCAAGTATCAGTTCGTTCCCTTGTCACGGGAGAATTCGTGATCTTCTTTACTTATTTATCTAATTTCTTCCTCTTTCTCAGGGTTTTCTTTCCAAATCTTCCTCAGTGTTTTTCTTCTCTTGATGCGATTATTGAGTTGAGGAGAACATTTGATTCAAGATGGAATAATAACCAAAATCCAGTATTATCCATGAATAATAAATAATTACGACGCTCTGTTCAAATTAAAAAAAAAAATCATTTATGAAGAATTATTTTATATGAAAGAAATGAGCTATGTGGAATTATCCATGACAGAATGTTATCCCCCAAGATGTGTTAGGCATGAAGATTTATTTACCATGAAGAAATAGTATAAATTAAGAATAATTATCCAAAATTATTTATAATAAAGTATTTTGCAGAAAGAAATGCCAGGATGTTTGGAACAAAAAAGAAGTGCTTGATCATAAGAGCAGGGTTTTGCTGGTCTGAACTTCCTTCCTAGATCAGATGCCAACCAAGGCAAAGTGCTCGGATGCCAACCAAGACAAAGGGCTCAGATGCCAACCAAGGCAAAGGGCTCAGATACCAACCAAGGCAAAGGGCTTGGATGCCAACCAAGGCAAAGGGCTTAGATGCCAACCAAGGCAGAGGGCTCAGATGCCAACCTAGGCAAAGGGCTCGGATGCCAACCAAGGCAAAGGGCTTGGATGCCGACCAAGGCAAAGGGCTCGGATGCCGACCAAGGCAAAGGGCTCGGATGCCAACCAAGACAAAGGGCTTGTATGCCAACCTAGGCAAAGGGCTCGGATGCCAACCAAGGCAAAGGGCTCGGATGCCAACCAAGGCAGAGGGCTCGGATGCCAACCAAGACAAAGGGCTTGTATGCCAACCTAGACAAAGGGCTCGGATGCAAACCAAGGCAAAGGGCTCGGATTCCAACCAAGGCAAAAGGCTTGGATGCCAAGCTAGGCAAAAGGCGTGGATGCCAACCAAGGCAAAAGGCTTGGATGCCAACCTGGGCAAAGGCTCAGATGCCAACCAAGGCAAAGGGCTCGGATGCCAACCAAGACAAAGGGCTCAGATACCAACCAAGGCAAAGGGCTCGTATGCCAAGCTAGGCAAAGGGCTCGGATGCCAACAAAGGCAAAGGGCTCGAATGCCAACCAAGACAAAAGGCTCGGATACCAACCAAGGCAAAGGGCTCGTATGCCAAGCTAGGCAAAGTGCTCGGATGCCAAGCTAGGCAAAGGGCTTGGATGCCAACCAAGGCAAAGGGCTCGGATGCCTGGATGCCAACCAAGACAAAGGACTCGGATGCCAACCAAGCAAAGGGCTCATGTGCCAATTAAGGCAAAGGGCTCGGCTGCCAACCAAGACAAAGGGCTCGGATGCCAACCAAGGCAAAGGGCTTGGATGCCAACCAAGGCAAAGGCTTGGATGCCAACCAAGGCAGAGGGCTCGGATGCCAACCCAGACAAAGGGCTCGGATGCCAACCAAGGCAAAGAGCTCGTATGACAAGCTAGGCAAAGGGCTCGGATTCCAACCAAGGCAAAGGGCTTGGATGCCAACCAAGGCAAAGGCTTGGATGCCAACCAAGGCAGAGGGCTCGGATTCCAACCTAGGCAAAGGGCTCAGATGCCAACCTAGGCAAAGGGCTCGGATGCCAACCAAGGCAAAGGGCTCGGATGCCAACCAAGGCAAAGGGCTTGGATGACAACCAAGGCAAAGGGCTCGGATGCCAACCTAGGCAAAGGGCTCGGATGCCAACCAAGGCAAAGGGCTCGGATGTCAACCAAGGCAAAGGGCTCGGATGCCAACCAAGACAAAGGGCTCGGGTGCCAACCAAGGCAAAGGGCCCGGGTGCCAACCAAGGCAAAGGGCTCGGATGCCAACCAGGGCAAAGGGCTCGGATGCCAACCAAGACAATGGGCTCGGATGCCAACCAAGACAAAGGGCTCGGATGCCAACCAAGGCAAAGGGCTCGGATGCCAACCAAGGCAAAGGGCTCGGATGCCAACCAAGGCGAGGGGCTCAGCTGTCAACCAAGGCAAAAGGCTTGGATGGCAACCAAGGCAAAGGGCTCGGATGCCAACCTAGGCAAAGGCTCGGAGGCCAACCAAGGCAAAGGGCTCGGATACCAACCAAGGCAAAGGGCTCGGATGCCAAGCTAGGCAAAGGGCTCGGATGCCAAGCTAGGCAAAGGGCTTGGATGCCAACCAAGGCAAAGGGCTCGGATGCCAACAAAGATGAAGGGCTCAGATGCCAACCAAGGCAAAGGGCTCGGATGCCAACCAAGGCAAAGGGCTCAAATGCCAACCAAGGCAAAGGGCTCGGATGCCAACCAAGGCAAAGGGCTCGGCTGCCAACCAAGGTAAAGGGCTCGGATACCAACCAAGGCAAAGGGCTCGGATGCCATGCCAAAGCATTCAGTTTTCAGGCTGCCATTTGTCAAGATTAGGAAATATTACCCAGGATAAAATACTGTGGGTAATGAAATCCCGAGATCCCCGTGTGGGTTCCAGGGCCCCATTGTGGGGAGAACAAGAATAGACACCCTGCCTCCCCAAAAGGGGAGCTTCCTTTGAAGTCGGAGTGCATCTGCCGGAGAGGCAAGGAGCCAACAGTCTGTATTCAAGACAATGAAATCTGTAAAACTGATGCACACGCAACACTCAGGTTCTGGAGTAGTGGGCGAGCAACCAGAACTTTCCGCCAGAGTGTACAGCTGGTGAAGGAGAAGAAGAAGAAGAAATCACGAGTTTTTTTTTTTTTGGGGGGGGGGGGGGGGGGAGAGAGAGAGAGAGAGACAGATTCACTACACTCTCAGACAAGTGGATTAGATATGGATTTGCTGAGAACGGATGTGTTGGTCAAAAGATACAGATATCATGGCTTAACTGTAAACCACAATGCAAGGTGCCAACCACCCTTGCTGGGTTAACAAAGAAGAATAAAAAGGAGGAGGAGTAGGAGGAAGAGGAGGAGGAGGTGGAGAAGAAGAAGAAGAAGAAGAAGAAGAAGAAGAAGAAGAAGAAGAAGAAGAAGAAGAAGAAGAAGAAGAAGAAGAAGAAGAAGAAGAAGAAGAAGAAGAAAAAGAAGAAGAAGAAGAAGAAGAAAAAAGAAGAAGAAGAAGAAGGAGGAGGAGGAGGAGGAGGAGCGGCAGAGAAATGCTACTCAGTATTAAATACTAATATGTATTATTCTAATGATAAAACAGAAACCAGAGAGAAAAGTCTGAAACATACAACAGCATGATGGCCAACAAGTTCATAAGCTTGCTTGTCCCTCTGACCCAAAAGCGCAATCGCGTCAAATATGAAGTAACCTGGAAAACAACACAACAGAATCAACTATTGTGGAATCAACTATACTGGAATCAGCAACAGAATCAACTATACTGGAATCAATTACAGGATCAACTTTTGAATTCGTTTAACCTCAAACCTCCGACAGTGACTCTTTAGGGAACTAACAACTAGCCATGACGTCATGGGTTTGCCAATGGAAAGTAACATATGTGATCCAAGTTAAGTCGAGCTAGCAGCGTCCGTGGCTTAGGCACACCCAGTTCGACTCGTAATTTTAACGTACCGTGATCGAAACCCACTGCTGGCTGCGTGGATTTTTATCATGGTACTGGGCGTCGCAGGTCGACCGAGCCTAAAATGGGTACCAGGGTGTATCACCTGGAAAAGTAAAGACGCCCCGCGTAATGCTGACCACATTACCCACCTAGCGCCGATTGGTCTGTAAAAACTATGGTGCTCTTCCCATATGCCGATGCGCCTGAGGCGTGAAAAGGGATCTTTCCGTTGTTTTTTTACTTGTCGAGATAAGAACTGACATCACAGCACTCAGGACTTCCCGTAAGAGATCTCTCCTCATCCTCGGCAACCATCAGTGAGTTCCCGGGCTGATGGTACATAGGTAGGTAAGTTGGACCCTATCAGGACATGACACAAGCGATAAACACCAGGTGACACAATGTGCCCCCATGCGGATGAGGATCACCCGTGAAGAGGCCCTTGAAACCCCGTTCAGCCGTTATGCCACATTTAAAGCCCGGCTATATTTAGGGCCCCTGGAAAAAGCCAGGATGGGGCTTCGAAATATCTAACAATTACATCCCACACGAGGACGAGTGATTAAGCTGATGTCACCAGTGGCATTCTGCTATTTGTCCGTCTGGTCTTTCCTCTGTTTGTAGGTCAGATGCCCTGGCCACCCCCCCCCCCTCCACTACATCACTCTGTCTACACTGTAAATTCTATTCTGCATTGCTGACTTGCTTCCAAAGGGTAGCACCACATCTAGCTTGTCATGCACCCACATATAGCTTGTCATGTACCCACATATAGCTTGTCATGCACCCACATATAGCTTGTCATGTACCCACATATAGCTTGTCATGCACCCACATATAGCTTGTCATGCACCCACATCTGGCTTGTCATGCACCCACATCTATCTGCCTGTTTATTGCCCAGCACACCAGCAATTCCAAGCTGTCGTTTAAACTTCCTGTTCTGCGGTAATATTTCAACTCCTCCATTCTCAAACACCAACTACTTTAAAGTCAAACGTCTACGAGTAAAGGGGATTAAAACAGTTAACAGTTGGTCATGAAAGATTTGTCCATCCCTTCTTCTTCTTTTGCCATTTATTTTCCAGCCAATGGACACAAGCTGCTATGGAAAATGAATACATAACTCACTGATATCTTTGTTAACATGGAGATAGAGAAACAGCGATATGGAGAGACAGAAAGGGATAGAGAAACAGTAAAAGACAAATAGAGAAAGAGAGATACATGGAGAGGACAGAGAGAAAGGGACATGACAGGATAGAGAGAAAGGGACATGACAGGATAGAGACAGAAAGACACGGGGGACGTAGAAATAGACAATTATTGACCGGATACAGAAGAGCGAGAGACAGAGCAGAGAATGACCGAATAGTTAGACAAACATCTAGAGGAAGAAGAAAAAAAAAACTGACCTAGAGACGCTCAGTGACAGACAGACAGACACAAAGATAACCCAGTAATGACATGGCAAAAATTGACACAGAAGGAAGACTAAGGTACGAGTGAGGACAACGTAAATACAGAAGATACACGAGAACGGGAGAACGGATACTTACCTACAGAAAACGACACAAGACTGTGTGACAGAGGTGTGTAGACAGTAATCAGATCTTCTGCCATGTCTGGTCGCTCAAAGAAGCTGGCAAAACAATAAACATATCATATAACAAACATTTGTAGCTCTGTAGTGCACAGGCTATCTGAAGAATGTGGGAGAGGTTTTGGCTACAGGGTTAAACGCAGATTGATAATTCCAACATCGCAGGATCGATTCAGCTAGGAGCATTTTGGCAGGAGGGCAGTTTGCTTCGATTCAGACAAGGGTATGAAAGTCAACCTTGCAGCAACACTGTCTAATTATTAAACATCATCTGGCCACGCAAACCCACCATCGACAGCCTGTGTTGGTCTACGACACCGTGTAACGGGTTTATAACTAAAGCATCAGGGAACTGCGTGGTCTAGAGGCATGGTGTCCGCCTCGAGTGCTAGAGGTTCCGGGTTCAATCCCCAGTAAGGGCTCGGATTTTTTCAAGTGTACTTGGACTTCTAGTAATTCCTCTGGTCTCTGGGTAGTCAGATCGGACGCCCGTGTGCATTGTTGAGCACGTCAACAAAAAAATCTATTGGCAGTCGGATATAAAAAAAAAGTAGCCCAACGGCGATACCCCGGACACAATTCGGAGTTAAACATCTATCCAAAGTATTTCAGAATCCTAGCTGGTGCTACAGAGCATGTGAACTGTGCTGAGCTTCTTCGGACCCAGACTTGAGTTAGAAGAAGAAAGGAGCACATCCGTGTGTCATGGTGTTTATCCGGTGTTCGAAACCTCAAACCTAACTAAAGCAGGCGTTGGCCAGCAAAATCACCTAACGCATACACACGTACAAACACCAACAAACACATACACATAAACATGCACCCACAAACACACACACAAACAAACACAACAATTCACAAATACTAGGTCAAAGATTCACGTGTGTGAATCAAAAATTACGGTGTGCGAGTTAAAGATTCACGTGTGTGAGTCAAAGATTCACGTGTGTGAGTCAAAAATGCCCGTGTGTGAGTCAAAGATTCCCGTGTGTGAGTCAAAGATTCAAGTGTGTGAGTCAAAGATTTCCGTGTGTGAGTCAAAGATTCACGTGTGCGAGTCAAAGATTCACGTGTGTGAGTCAAAGATTCACGTGTGTGAGTCAAAAATGCCCGTGTGTGAGTCAAAGATTCCCGTGTGTGAGTCAAAGATTCAAGTGTGTGAGTCAAAGATTTCCGTGTGTGAGTCAAAGATTCCCATGTGTGAGTCAACGATTCATGTGTGTGAGTCAAAGATTCCCGTGTGTGAGCCAAAAATCCCGTGTGTGAGTCAAAGATTCAAGTTTGTGAGTCAAAGATTTCCGTGTGTGAGACGAACTAGGTATGTGAGGTAGCCCCCATGTGTCAGGCTAAAAGGCACTTGATGGAAGGTTAGAAAAATATCAGAACGGCCGCTTTTACTTCCTGGTACATTTTCTAGTATCGTACCGGTTTTAGGGCGTGTCTTTCTAGAAACCCCGGTAATTGAGAGACCCAAACTTGCCGCCTCAAAACTGATTCAAACAGATGGTCAGCGAACGGGTAAGGCTACTTCTGGTGTCTGTCTGTCTCTGTCCCTGTCTCTGCTCTATTTCCTTCTGTCTGTCTCTGTCTCGTCCTGTCTGTCTCTATCGCTCCCTTCCACTCTCTCTCTCTCTTTCTACCTTTATGTGTGTGCATGCATGCGTGCATCTGTGTGTGCATGCGTGCGCGCGTGTGTGTGTGTGCATGCGTGCATGCGTCCGTGTGTGTGTGTGTGTGTGTGTGTGTGTGTGTCCTCTCACCCCATTGACTGTATAGGACTATTATGAAATTCGCTGAAGAGATGTGACACAGTCACACATGGAAACCACGAAGAACAGAAAAATGATGTTTATTTCACTGATCGCTCACTTTTTCACACGGCTAGGAGACACCTGGCGGATGGATGGTAGTTGAGTCCCTTCAGGAATATAGTCTCTAGAGAATGACAGATGGGTAGAAGACAGTCAGCGCGGATTTCAGCTAAAAAATACAGGAGTCAGAAAGGGAACAGGGATAGTGGAGAAAACAATTGCACATAGAGTAAGGAATGAGCATCTGAGAACAAGTAGATCAAACAAATGTGGCAGCAACAACGATCGTGAAATCCCATAGCCGGTTATATACAGCATTTAAACACTTTCTTCACTACAACGGTAGTATTTTAATTCTATATATTTGTTTTCCGAATTTTAGCATCGCAATAACTATTTATTTGGAATGTTTTACGACGATATAAGATGAAAGAAGAGAAGGAGGAGGAGGATAAGGAGGAGGGGGGAGAAGAAGAAGAAAATGAAGAAAAAGAACATGAAGACGAAGAAGAAGGAAGAGGAGGAAGATGAAGTGGTGGAGACGGTGACTGAGATCGGGGTGTGTGCGAGAGGGGGAGGAGAGGAAGAAGACGATGATGATGAGGAGAAGGAGAAGAAGAACAAGTATAAGAGGGCGGAGGAGAAGAAGAGGTTGGGACCGGTGACGGGGTGGAGGGAGGGTGAGGTGGATGATTGGGAATACAAGAAAATAATTAGGTTGCTGATCCTTTAAGATCACCCAACACAGGCGGCCTAGGCCGGGGTCAGGGGTCAGGTGCCAGTGTGTGGAACTTGTGCCACGTTCTGGTTGACTCCACGGGATCAATAATATATCAGCGTCACAGGATTCAAGGCGCCAGTTTTACCTGCGACCAATCTTTGAAGTGTTCGGTGTAATGTAGTTGTGAATAATACGTTTACCGCCAGTGATGTCAAAAATCTTTTTAGTAGTAATAGAAGAAGTGGTACCAGTAGCAGTTGAAGTTGCAGCAGCAAAAGAAGTAGCAGTAGTTGTAGCAGCAGTAGAGGTAACGTAGGGGTAGTAGTTGCGGCAGCAGCAGTAGCAAAAACAGCAGTAGCAGCAACAGCAGTAGCAGCAGCAGGATTAGTTACAGTCAGAAGTGTCGTAATGTGGGCATTTTGGCCTCTCAAGTCTCTTTCCCCAGAAACATAGGTAAAAGGGGTGCCTATTCGCCCCCCCCCCCGACCCCTCCCCCCCCCCGACACCCATCCACGATTTTCAAGAGGCTAGACAGTTCCAGCAAAACTTGTATAAAAGTTTTCTGTTCAATGATCTGTTTCTACATTTCATATTATTTCAGATATATCACTGAATACGTTATCATTTACTATTATTTCAGATATATCACTGAATACGTTATCATTTACTATTATTTCAGATATATCACTGAACACGTTATCATTTACTATTTTATTTCACGATATTATTTCAGATATATAACTGAATACGTTCAGATATTACTATTATTATTTGATATATCACTGAACACGCAGATTAAACCGCATTTACTATTATTTCATGAACACGTTATCATTTACTATTATTTCAGATATATAACTGAATACCCCCCCCCTATTATTTCCCACGTTATCTCTATTTTTCTCCACTATTATTTCAGATATATAACTGAACACGTTATCCTATTATTTCAGATATATAACTGAACACGTTATCATTTACTATTATTTCAGATATATAACTGAACACGTTATCATTTACTATTATTTCAGATATATAACTGAATACGTTATCATTTACTATTATTTCAGATATATAACTGAACACGTTATCATTTACTATTATTTCAGATATATAACTGAATACGTTATCATTTACTATTATTTCAGATATATTATCATTTACTATTATTTCAGATATATAAGTGAACACGTTATCATTTACTATTATTTCAGATATATAACTGAATACGTTATCATTTACTATTATTATTGTGCAATTAAACCGCAATACACCCCCCCCCCCCCCCCCCCCCCCCCCCCTCTTTTCTCCACACACACCCACCCTATTTTTAATGAGAAAATCTGTAAAGGCTAAGCGTTTCGTGGTAGTAGTTGTTGTAATAGTTGTTGTAATAGTTGTTGTAATAGTTGTTGTAATAGTTGTAGTAGTTGTAGTAGTAGTAGGTGTTGTTGTTGTTAGTGTGGTAATAGAAGTAGTTGTTGTTAGTGTTGTAATAGAAGTAGTTGTTGTTGTAGGTGTTGTTACAGTAGTAGTAGTTGTTGTTTTGCAGCAGTAGTTGTTGTTGTAGGTATTGTTGCAGTGGTATTAGTAGTTGTAGTTGTTGTTGTGGTTTTTGTTGTTGTAGTAGGTGTTGTTGCAGTAGTAGTATAAGTAGTTGATGTTGTAGGTGTTGTTGCAATAGTAGCAGTTGTTATTCATTATTCTTGTTGCTGCAGTAGTAGTAGTAGTTGCAATTGTAGTAGTAGTAGTCGTAGTAGTAGTAGTAGGACATGTTGTTGTTGTAGGTGTAGTAGTAGTAGTAGTAGTAGTAGTAGTAGTAGTAGTAGTAGTAGGAGTTGTTGTTACAGTAGTAGCACTATTGTTTATGCAGCAGTAGTAGTTGTTGTTGCAGTAGTGGTAGTCGTTGTTGTCGTAGTTGTTGTTGTAGGTGTTGTTGTAGGTGTTGTTGTTGCAGTACTAGTAGTTGTAGTTCTAGCTGTAGGTGGTGTTGCAGTAGCAGTACTAGTAGTTGTTGTTGCTATAGTTTTAGAAGTTGGTGTTGTTGTTGCTATAGTAGTAGTTGTTGTTGTTGCTATAGCAGTAGTAGTAGTAGTTTTGTTACTGTTGTTGCAATATAGCAGCAGTTGTAGTAGTTGTGGTAGTATTAGTAGTAGCCGTAACAGTAAGAAAGAGCAGTCTGCGCATTGTAATAGTTGTAATATTAGCGGTAATAGTTGTCTAAAAACGTAGTACATGATAACAGACACACAATCATTTTAGTCAATAAAAACAGTTATGGTTTGTATATTTCTGCACGAATCTACAATGACACAATAGCCGAACTACGGGTACATAACAGTCAACTTACCAGATCATAGCCCACGCACTACTGATCAGAGCATGTATGAAAGACGCCGAGAAATTCTTCCATTTCCATGCAGACTTTCTGGCTACCAGCGGTGTTACAGACGCCGCAATCAGCGATAGGATGTAGAACAACACTAAAGATACAACTATGATGATCAAACTATAATTTGGTTCCTGAACTTCTCGCCAGATCTCTGGTTTTGTGTCAAAAACATGCGTGTCCATTCTCCGTGCCGTGTGTAATCCGGGTGTGTGGTTCTAGCTCGCTGGAAATAGGACAGTTATATAACTAGGTCGTGTCGGGTCGAAGTTCACAGCTTTGCTTATGAAACCAAGACTAGAAATGTGTGTCATTCATTGATTTCTTCGTACAGTTGTTCATTCGTGCAAGCAGTCATCAATTCATTTGTTCATTTATACATTTATTCATTCTATTCTATACTTGACGATACAATGTATGGTGAACTTCGCGTCTTTAGTGGCACACGAACACACACCGTAATATACGCAGGCCGGATTGTTTACATAGGTGGCTTTGTTTATAAATTGACTAGGCTCGGAACGAAAACAGTAAATACACACTCTTTGAGTCTCGGAGATCGGTTGCACACCATTTACGATGTGTAATCCATAGTCATCGTAATTATTTCTCTAAACAAAGGGGCAAATACTGGTAAAGCGACCGGATGATCAGACGCCACAGCTCTCACAATTCCTATCTCGGAAGTCATAAAACATACGCACGTGATTTTCATTAAAAAAAAAAAAAAGTACTTTTTGTTTCAAGCTGGCCGAATTGCTCCCTGTTGTGAGTGTTGTATCAAGACAAACTACACGTCGTTGTCTAGAGATAGAATATTCCAGCTCGCGTTGTATAATAGATGTCATACTATTGCTTTTTTTTTTTTTTTGGATTCCTGTTTTGCGAAAAGACTTTCTCAGCAATGATCGTAATAAACAACGGGTCAGAGAAATCAAATGAACCTTGTTGTAGCGCTTCGTCTATTATAATTAACGCTCTAGCCATTTTAAAAACCATTTGTTAACATCTAAGCAGCAACAGTAGTCATGTTGACTGAGAAGTCTAATGCTGCGACATCGGAATTTAGCAAGTTCACTTCTGCCTAGATTTTGTTTTTCTATTTTTATTTGGCTGTCTGGTACCCCCGAAAGAATGTACCTTGTGTATGTGTGTATGTGTGTGTGTGTGTGTCGCAGGTATTTATAATTTGAGAAACACTGCTCTGGTCCTGCTCCCTAAAGTGTTGCGTGCACATCCATTTCACAGATGTGACTCATTTGTATGCAGACTGTTGGTTCTTAGCCTCTCAGACAGATGCACTCTGACTTCGCAGAAAGCTCCCAATCTTACGACATGCTTGTTCTGGAGGCAGTAGGTCGACTCTTGTTGTCCCCACAATGGGAGCCCCAGACCCCACACGAAGAACATCCACCCACAATGGGAGCCCCAGACCCCACACGAAGAACATCCACCCACAATGGGAGCCCCAGACCCGACACGAAGAACATCCACCCACAATCACCCGTTCTTCAAGCTGGAGATTGGAGATGCTTGTCAATTGTTCCAGCATCTGATATCTCCTCATTATCTCTCTTTCGAATGTTCTAATCTCTATTCCTCTGATATTTATGACCACTATCTGACAGAAGTCGGAACTCGAGTCACGCGACAAGGACTCGAGCGCGACTTAAGTCGGGTAATTAACGACTTGCGACACGACTTGGGGTTCAGCGACTCGATACTCGACTTCTGACTTGTAGCTTTGAGGAATTGATACGACTTCTTCTTCGCAGCCAGCCCCTGTCAATTGAAAACAAAATCTACTACTGAAATACAATAGAACACAATAACGTGACGACTTTTCAGTTTTCTGCAAATGTTTTAAAACAAAAATACCTTCAATGTGCAATTATATGCGTTCAGTTCAGTTACTTACCTACACAGTCAAAATCTAATAATTGTTGACTGTTGTTCTGTTCTTATAAAAGACTTCTCTTGTGTTGTTTTCCTCCACAGTTGACGCTGTCCTGTTTGGAGCGTGAAAGGACTTGGATGACTGATTTTCTATCGGAATATGACAGCTTTTTAAGTAAGTAAAACTGGAGTATTGCGGGTTTGTACATTTCAAAGGAGCATTGCTGCCCCAGTTCTGAACCTTGTTTAAGTGTCCCATATCGATACTGAGTATTTCTCTGTGTTGCGATTAGTGTGTGTAATGCTTATTCACCCAGTTCCTTTTTGTGGCTCCTTGACTAAAATCGTCTATATAAATACGTGTCCAAATTTTGGAGGGAAAATGGTAAATAAAGTTTAAAAGCTCTTTGTTCTGACCCTGTTTGTTCGTTTTAAAGATTATTCGTATGGCTTATAGAACTGTACTGGATAAAAGTCGACCGTTTATCTACAGTTCTGATGTGCGAGCTTCACAAATCACAATGCCAGTTTTAATATTTACATCTTGTGCCAAAGTTTCTTCTGCAAACTGCCATATACTTTTTTTTCTTGAAAATTAATTTTCTTAAAATCTATGGTTCATCAGATGATCTAAAAACCTCTGACACTCTTGAGACTAAGCGAGGGATTTGTACTGTCTACGGATGTGATTCTCGTTGCTATGTGTGACATTTGAAAGCCTATATTTTGAACCTCACAAAGGTTTCACAAGTTCGTTTTCACCGCTTCAGCCCAGGTCATTTAGAGCATATTCCATAACTGCTTGCTACAGGGATCCAGTGTAGACTAGCTGTCATGTTTTGGTGTTGTTGCTGTCCAGTATTTTCCACTCAATTTTTGTTTTCATTACAGCAAGTTTTTGTTTGCTTTTTGATTTGATTTCAGAGTTTGGATTCAGTGTGCGCCTGGTGTTTAGTATAACTCTCCCTCCCTAAAAGTGGATAGATCAACCCCACCCCCGCCCCACCATCTTAGAGAATCTCAGCGCTCCCCACATTTGATCGAGGCCGCTAACGCCCCCTGGACTTACCCAGCGCCCCTATAGGACGGTAGCGACCTCTTTGGACGACATTAGTCTAAATAAAGGAGTCCGGCATCATATACCCAATATGCCACTGGTGATGATTTTCTGGGAAACAATCGTCAAGTTGAACCAGCATCTACGAAAGGGGAGCTTTAGGTTATAATTGTGGCTAGGTTATGTGCGCCATATGAAATGACCTAGCACTGTGCACGCCACCAAATACTCTGAAAAAACTCCTGCAGTGTAAATGCGATCAAAGGAGACAGACCCAAATACTGTGCAGACTGGCGACGAATTCGTCTACATGCCAGCCAAAAGGCAACCCGGTGGCCGACGAAAATGGCGATGGAATAATACTCGGGCGCAAGTCTCAGAAACCCCGTTCAACCATGAGGTTACATTAGGACCCCAGACAACAGCCAGAGTAGGACTTTAGAATAAATACAAATTGAGCTCCATACTGGAGCGGTCATCAACATGTTGCAGGTCCTTTGCAGAACGTCGCTCTCATCACAATCTGCCCGAATGAAACTCGGTCGCTCGCCAGTTCTCCCGCCTCATGTACCTTCATACTCAAGGATTCACTTATATTCTGTGCCCATCTTCGTGTCGGTCGGCCCCTGCCCCTCCTTCCTGGTACCATGCCTTGTGCTATTAATTGTTTCCAATCCGTCGTGGCGCTTGGTATGACCAAAATATTTCAGCTTCCGAGAAAGGATACTGTTTATTAGCCAATCTTCCTTGAGGTTCAGATCTTTCAAGATGTCAATATTTCTCCGTTTCTTTGTCCAAGATATTCTGAGAATCTTTCTATAGCATTTCAGCTCAAAAGCCCCTATTCTCTTTCTTAAGGACTGAGAGATAGTCCACGACTCACATCCGTATATAGCCACAGGGAAGATGCTTGCTCTCAAAATTCTTCTTCTTCTTCGCGTTCACCAGCTGTAAACTCTGGTGGAAAGTTCTGGTTGTTCGTCCACCTCTGGACTGCAGTCCTGCTCTAGTCTATTCTTGTTTTCCCTAAAATAGGGCCCCAGAACCCCCCACGGGGATCTCAAAATTCTAATTTGTATCTCCTTGCTGGTGCTTAACCATAGAATTTTAAGGCTGTTCACTCTTTGCATTGCTATGGCCATTCTCCTCTTAATTTATGTCGAACAGTCTCCATTGCAGTTTATTATAGAGACTGAAGCGGCAGCGGACTGCAATTTGCCAACGGCGCCAAAAGTTGCTCAACTTGACCTCACCTTGTGATGTCTTTTGTAGAACACAAATAATAATTTGATCGCGATCAAGCCTTTAAACTTCCAGGAGCTGTGTTTATAATTGCCAACTTTAAACTTCTAGAAGCTGTGTTTATAATTGCCAACTTTAAACTTCTAGAAGCTGTGTTTATAATTGCCAACTTTAAACTTCCAGGAGCTGTGTTTATAATTGCCAACTTTAAACTTCCAGGAGCTGTGTTTATAATTGCCAACTTTAAACTTCAGGAGCTGTGTTTATAATTGCCAACTTTAAACTTCACGGAGTTGTGTTTATAATTGCCAACTATAAACTTCAGGAGCTGTGTTTATAATTGCCAACTTTAAACTTCTAGTAGTTGTGTTTATAATTGCTAACTTTAAACTTCCAGGAGCTGTGTTTATAATTGCCAACTTTAAACTTCCAGGAGCTGTGTTTATAATTGCCAACTTTAAACTTCCAGGAGCTGTGTTTATAATTGCCAACTTTAAACTTCAGGAGCTGTGTTTATAATTGCCAACTTTAAACTTCAGGAGCTGTGTTTATAATTGCCAACTTTAAACTTCAGGAGCTGTGTTTATAATTGCCAACTTTAAACTTCTGTGAGCTGTGTTTATAATTGCCAACTAAAAACTAGGAGCTAATTGCCAGGAGCTGTGTTTAATTGCCAACTTTAAACTTCAGGAGCTGTGTTTATAATTGCCAACTTTAAACTTCAGGAGCTGTGTTTATAATTGCCAACTTTAAACTTCAGGAGCTGTGTTTATAATTGCCAACTTTAAACTTCAGGAGCTGTGTTTATAATTGCCAACTTTAAACTTCCAGGAGCTGTGTTTATAATTGCCAACTTTAAACTTCCAGGAGCTGTGTTTATAATTGCCAACTTTAAACTTCTAGAAGCTGTGTTTATAATTGCCAACTTTAAACTTCTAGAAGTTGTGTTTATAATTGCCAACTTTAAACTTTCAGGAGCTGTGTTTATAA